ATGCGGTTTTGACCGGTTTTGACCTACTATGCAGCCCATGAAAAAATGGTGAGCACAAGCACTGAAAAAGTGAGTTTACACTTTAAAGAAAACTAAATCTAATCCGTTTCCATTTACCAAAAACACAACACACTCAGACGATACTGAAATATCAGAAAGCGTCCTCTTCCTTAGCTACGGACCTAAGCTTCTCCTTGTCTTGCGCCCATCCTTCATGACTGCTTAAAGAGTTAGTGAGGGGAATATATATTCAGGCTTTTACCTGGATTCACCTGCTCCCTGTATTTCAGCAGCTGAGTGACTCATTGTACAGTCGGGGGTGTCTACGTAGCGGCCTTGACCTTTTCCATCGCTTGGCCAGAGGCCTCGCTGGCGTGGTGGTTCAGATATTAGAGAGCCAGCTGTGAGGGCTTCGGACTGTTTGCCTTGAATTACCGCTTCGGGGGCTTCGAGGTGCAAAAAGTCCGGAGGGTGATCCGGGCTTTCAGGTGAGGATGTTCTCGGCTGATTGAACGCAGACAGAGAAACAGACTTTGATTGCGGAAGCTTGTTTTTTGCAGCCTGCCCCGTCAAAGGTAGGGTAAACATTTCTGGCTGAGCTCATGTTACCGACAGCAGCGCAGGTTCTAAATAAAGCTTCCTGACCAGTCTGATCCGGCTGTGTGGTGAATGTGTGTCACATCATTCCACCAACTCACAGGGCTTCTTTACACTCTTTTCATCCTCATGCTTTCATACTGCACCTTCCTTCTGGATTCCAACACTTAGGTCAGTGTGCCTATGGAAATGTTTGTGTTAGTGCACCACCGTGACTTTTCTTTCTTAAAGAACATTTATTGTCCCCAGAGCTGTGGAAAGACTTAGTGTAAAAGGCTTCACTGCCTTCATCCCAGGCTGAAAATGTCAGAATCTTTTTGCAGTAATAAGAAGATTGCATTTCTAATGCATGAATTAGTTCTCCGGGGGAACATTACGGCCCGGGATAAATGGCCTGCAGAATCCGTCTGAACTCAGATACAAGTTATCATCAGTGGTCTTTGGAGGCAGAGACGTACTCATCCGCCGTTTCTTCCCCGTCAGCACTGCTCCAAATGTGGAGATGGAACCACAAAACGGTCCGTAAATCTCTCTTTACGCTCCGACCTTTTCAGTCTCACGGCTGCACATCAAAATGATAATGCCTTTTTCATCCAGAGTCGCAACTGTGCCACAAACGGCTTATTGCTGAGCTTAGCAATCTGCACACTACATGATGCAGCGGTGTGTGTGGATGGATGACGGTTGCTGTCGCTAACTTAAAGAAGCCAACAAACAGAGAAAACATGTTCAGTGAAAACATGTCTCACAACTCTTCTCCAGTACACCACGTGCATCTCACCTTCATCAGAGTGGTTTTTAATGCGGCACATCAATTAGTCGTGGGACTTCTAGATCACCAAAGACGTTATAAAGTGCTGAAGGAACAAGTCCCAAAATTCAGAAATACGACTTGCCAACATATCGTATGTACAGTTTGTTAAAACTACATGAGAGTACGCATTCAACACAGTATTGTCTGAGTAATAAGCACACTGTACAGAGCAGTGTTTGTCCACGTATTGAGGAAAGACCTCATTATCGATGATTTGATCTCATCCTCAGTGTGTTGTGAGGATTGTGCTGATTGTGGACGTATTTCTGGGCCAATTTTCAAATTGAAAACAAGACAATCGTCATTTATATAAATGGATTTTTACCTTTTCTAGAGTTAAATCTTACTCCCAGGATGAACGGGCCAAACATAGACTGAGCAAGAGGCTCTTTCAGCTCTCTGCAACATCTACAGAGAGCAGGTTCTGGTAAGAGACACACGACATGTTGTAAAGGACACAAGTCTGGTTTTAAAGCTCAGGTGTGAAGGTGCACGTCTGCAACAGGACCAGACAAGTTCTCTGCTAGATGCCAAAAGTCATTCTTAGCTAATAAGTCAATCAAAAGAATAGGAAGCGAGGAAGTGAGAGAAAGTGTCTGAGGTAGTAAACAGAGGGGGAATCCCACAGTTCAACGATCATAACAAAGAGGAACAAAGAAGAACACTCACGTATATATATGCTGCTGGTGATGAGGAGGAACAGGAAGAGAAAGCAGGTCGTGAACACGTTGCTCTCAGTTTGAGATGTGACACGAGGTCAGTCTGGGTACAGAGAAGCTGTGGTTGTGAACTTATGTGCAGCAGAGAGCGATTACCTACGTGTCATTAGTCAAATACATAACAAACACAGATTTCTCCATCTTAATCCATATTACAGCTCAGAAGTGCACAATGTGCATGTGTGTGCAGCACCGCGGGGTTCATTTGCTTATGAAAATCTGCTGCCGTTGTACATTTTGACTCAGCGGCTAATGGAGCCGTCACAGAGACTCGTCTACCCGCTGAAATACCTCATTCCTCATTCAAAACTCACTGCGACAACACGGGAAATCATTCTAGCGAGTACCAGGCTGTGAGAGGTGTGAGGACACACATGTATCTGTCATAAGAAGTGATTTGACACCTTGTGTATACAGGGTTATAATTGCCTTATATGATGTCACAAGCACAATTAAGGTGTAAAGATTTTAAAAAGAGAATAACTGTGAGAAACAACAAAGATATGATAATTTTTAGCCATAAACAAGAAGTCATACAAAATGATTCCCCGGTTTGTAGATATTTCCCCTGATATTGAAATTCTTTACAAGGAATAACCTAACTTTGAGACATGTGTGTGTATATGTACACAATATATATATATATATATATATATATATATATATATATATCTCAGGGTTTAGAGCAATTTCTAGTAACTTAGTAAAAGTCATCTTGCATGCATTCACAGACTGATGCAGTACACACAATATACATGAACACCTTACCTGTGCAAGAAGTGACCAGGTGTGTGTGTCCTGTCCTCTCTCGTTGGAGCCAGCTGGCTTTACTGAAAGAGCACATTCTTCCTTCTGCTGCTCAGCACACTGAGCCATGGTGATCACCCACCAGGAGGTAGAAACACTTGAGGGTCCACGGGCAGTGGGACACTTGAGGAGTTTTACTTCAGGGCTCAACATGTATGTTGAAGTTCACTTTAAATGCATCCCTTAATAAAAGGATGCATGACAGCACTGTACACTGTAGAGAACCAGATATAAGACATATTGACCCATGATGGAGACCATTAAAAACTCTTCAGAGTTGTATCATGGCTCTAAGATCATCTCATTATATTTAACATCAGACACGCACGTGTTTTTGTCCCAAGCGCGAGGGTTTCCATTTAAACTTGGCTACGTGTTAGCCACTCAGCTAGCTGCTAACAGGAGGAGCTGGCTAAAGGTTTACAAAGCATTCAAAACTTTTTTTGTTTCTGGAGGAGCGTTAAAGCGACATGCATGTATGTGTGTGTGTGTGTGTGTGTGTGAGAGAGAGAAAGTTTACCTTGATGTGTGTGAAGCCAGTTAAATCCGTATTCGTCGCTAGCATTTCTCCCACCAGCAGTGCAACATGTGTCTCTGGTACCCAGCAGCCGGTGGTGTAGACGTGTCTGCAGACGGGGCTAGCTGGCTAGCTAACGGTAGCTAACCAGTTAGCCACCGGCTCGCTAACCTGGACAGTTAACGGGTAGTTACCTCCTGCCGCCTCTAGATGTCGCTGTTACCACTTCGCCTGAATTAAAAAAAAAATTAATTAATAATAATAATAATAATAATAATAATCCTTTATTAGTCCCGCAGTGGGGAAATTTACAGGATTACAGCAGCATACAGTGTATATATACATGTATATATATGTATATATACATATATATATATATATATATATATATAGTATATACAGTATATATATATATATATATATATATATATATATATATATATATACAGTATATACAGTATATACAGTACAGTGCAAACAAGAGACAGTAAAAAAACAAGATCAAAACAAGTATTATAAATAAGTAATAAAACAGTAAAGAATATTAAATAAGTAGAAAAATAGATACTAATAATCACACTGGTAATCTAAAATAATTAACTACAGGAGCCCATCAGTTAAAAACACCAATGTCTGTACATGGATATTTGCTGTTATTGTTTCCCCTTATTGAGTACAGGTTCATTAATGCTGAAAATGCTTATTTGCAGATTTATTTATTTTTTTGCGCAATGTGCTTATTCCCAAAAACTTGTCATTTTTTGCCAGCGTCACTTCAACACAGGGGTCTCAAACTCATCTTCACTCTGGGCCACATCAGCATCACGGTTTCCCTCAAAGGGCCGGTTGTAACTGTAAGACTGTGTAAATGTAACTACTCCTAACATATTGGTAAATAACTGTCTCTGCATTTGATTAGTGTTTATTCAAGTGTAAAAATATTGTACATGCAGTTATATAAATGTAAAAATATATTTAAGCACATTTCTGTTATAACTTAAATCCTTTTAATTTAGGGTTAAGAAACCCACATTACTCTGTCAAAGATCAAAGTATTAAAGAAAATAGCAAAGACAAATATCAAAGACAAGTTATTACAATAACTTTGTTCAAAGCTTAAAATCCTTTCAAGGGTGCATTTGCACAATCCCACATGAAGTATTTCATGTGTTTTAAAGCCACGTTTAAAGTAGTCTTCAATGTACTCGCAATACATTTCAATACAGTAACCAGCCAAAGAGCTTCTATTACTGTTTAAGTATCTCATCATTTTGACTTTCAATCATAATTATGACTTTCTATCTAAATTATAAGTGAGCCAGAAAACAGAAAATGTGTCATTTAATGCAACATAATTGTGACTGAGCAGAGAGACAGGGAGAGAGGGCAGGAGAGAGAGACAAAGAGGGCAGCAGAGAGAGACAAAGAGTGAGAGAGACAGAGAGAGGGCAGGAGAGAGAGAGAGAGAGAGAGGGCAGGAGAGAGAGACAGAGAGAAATAGAGCCCATAGTAAAAGCGCATCAGAAATTACGAGTGAGCCAGTAAATAGAAAATTTGTCATTTAATGCAACATAATTGTGACTCGAGTTACAATTAATCTCATGGAAATAAATCACCAAACTGACAGACATGATGTTTCATACAGGTATATATTACAATGTGCCTTGTTATATAATACAGTCAGGTTCTGTTTGCTTTGTCTCGTCTTTTGTAATAAAAATAAGCACTGGAGGAGGACGTGATACGTTTTTGTATTTTATTGTAAATTGGACATTATGCACATTACTTAGCGACTGACTTTTGTTAATCAAGCGTGTTAAGTGGTCACAGAAAACTCAACCCGCGCTGAGTGAGAGTCCAGACGATGTCGAGTCCAAAAACAAAAGGCGATAAAGCCGGGAGATCCCTCACACACACACACACACACACACACACACACACGCGGCGAACGAAGTACCAAAATAAAAGAGGAAGAACATTGAGTGACTGCTTGTGCCAAACACACCATTCAATAAACACAAAAAGGGTTATTTTCTTCGTTTCCGTCGACCGTTCGGGACGTTAACCGTGGAGTGAAGGGAGTCATTCTGTAAAATGCACCGTCATCGCAAATTCAAACCGGTTTTAACTTTATTTTTTTTAATCAGCAGGTCAAATAATAAGTCGTGGTCTCACTGACACAATAAATATTGCACACGTGATATTTCATAGGGATGTCTTTGCATACAAGTGCCCCCCCCCCCCCCCTTTCCTATGTCTAATTTCCTCAAGTTCTATCTCCCCCCAAAATACGCTCATCTTCATCATGATAGATTCAATATATAGAGGAGTTAAGGGTGTCTGTATAAAAACAAAATAACATCAATAAAAGTAGACATCCAATGTGTGACGTGACATCTGGCTGTGAGACCAAAACCTCTCTTTGTCCCAGTTTCTCTAATTTCTGTACAAAGACAAAACAACTATCCAGTCATGCAACGTTTGTTTGGGTGGGGGTGTCTGGGGGTCTGTTATGCTCTCCGTCGGTATTTAAGCGTTCTGCATCTCCTTGCCAATCTTGTAGCTCAGGATCTTGTTCCAGTCGATCTTGGTGCGTGTCACGGGGAGCTGGCGGCGTAAGGCTTTGAAGGTAGTGTCCGACATGGTCTGGTAGTTCTCGTTGATGGCTGTCTGGAGGGAAGAGCAGAGAATCATGAACAAGTTAGTTTACAGGTGAAAAAGCTGTGAGATCATTATGGAAACCGTTTCAATGTTTAACTAAACTTTTTTGTTTGTTTGTATCAAGAATTTGTACTAAATGTAGTTTAAAATTCTAAATTCTTTAGCTCCTTTAAATGAATGGACGGCCGTGAAAGAGCTCATTCCTTTAGTAAAATACAACGTCCAAATATCTCGCTACGACTCAGCATTCCATCCGCTGTAGCCTAAAAACCTGACATCATGAGGAACATGCTGTGATGGAGGTTTGCAGCGTGAAAGTGAAGGATTTCCTCATTTAATCCTGACAAGAGTAGAACACAAGCTTTTGGTGAGGTCTCATTTTTATCCATTTGCATATCTCATGCTACAAGGTTCCCTGGGAAAAGCTGCTGGGGAGAGGGGGACGTCTGGAATACCCTGCTAAACTCCAGATTAGCTGAAGATGACGGATGGATGGATGGACCAAAGTAAGACACGTTTCAAGAACGGGATCTCAAGTGTCCGGTTTGGGGACCTCAGAATTGCATCTCTTTGCAGATGATGTGGCTCTATTGGCTCCATCAGACCGGGACCTTCAGCACGCACTGTTGGTGGTTTGCAGCACAGTGTGAAGATGTTGGGATAAAGTCAGTACCTCCAGGTCTGAGGCCATGGTTTGCTGCCGGAAAACGGCGGATTGCACCCTTATGGTTGGGAGTGATGCACTGTCCGAGGAGAGGGAGCTCCAAGTATCTTTGGGTCATGAGTGAGAGGAAAACGGTGCGTGAGATGGTCAGGCAGCTGCTGAACCGAACTGTTGTGGTGAAGAGAGACCTGAGCCAGGAGGCAAATCTCTCGGTTTACAAGTCAATATATAAGTTCCGACCCTCCTCTGTTCATGAGCTTTTTTTTAGTAGTGACCAAAAGAATGAGATCGCGGATACAAGCGAATGAAATTAGCTTCCTTTGTATGGTGGCTGGGCTCAGCCTCAGAGGACGAGGAGCTCAGACATTGGGAGGGAGTTCGGAGAAGAGTTTCTGCTCCTTCGTGTCTAAAGGGGGGCCAGCTGAAGAGGTTCAACATCCGATCAGGACGCCTCCGTTTAGAGGTTTTCTGGGCACGTCTAACTGGTAAGAACCAGAATATGTTGGAAGGATTATACATCTCATCTGGCCTTGGAACGAAAAGAGCTGGAAAATGTTGCTCCACACCAAAACTTTCAATCAATAAATCAGTAAAAAGTTGTGTTTTCCTGCAACATCCAGCTTGTAATCGGTTTATTTCACACAGGATATCTGCTTCCCATCTTCACATACCTGATAGTCGTTCTCTGCAGCCTCCATGATCTTAACAAACTCCTTTGCGGTTGAAGCCTCATTCTGGAAGATGACAAGACACATAATCAATTTCAAGAGTAGAGGGGGGGGGGGGGGGGGGGG